GGGGTGGTTGTGGCTGGTATATAGAGGTGGTTGTGGTTGGTATATAGAGGTGGCTGTGGCTGGTACATAGGGGTGGTTGTGGCTGGTATATAAAGGTGGTTGTGGCTGGTATATAGAGGTGGCTGTGGCTGGTACATAGGGGTGGTTGTGGCTGGTATATAAAGGTGGTTGTGGCTGGTATATAGAGGTGGTTGTGGCTGGTATAAAACATATGCATGTACAAAAATTTTTACTTACACTAATTTTAACACTAACTGAATGGCATACACCATGTTTTCACTCGTTTAAAAACAAAATGAGCTAGAAAGTGTAAAGTGTTATGACAGTCATGTGGTCTATCTCTATTCTCAAATCAATAAGCCATTCCAAGCTGATTTGAATCCACAAACACGGTATTTGTCTTTCAAGAAATAAAAGTGTTTCACAAACACGTCTCCAAGTATATTTAATGTGCTACATTACTTACAGCAATATATATTTAAACTCGTCTGATTATATAGATTCCTATTTTGCTGTATGCATAAATTATATCAATATATTTACAGAATAATAATCACCAAAGTTAGGTATTTATTTATAATTAGTTGTCAATTAACAAACGTGAACATGTTAATGTAAGAAAACCTGATCACATGATTACATTTACTGCATGACTTCATTTGGTCTGTAATTGTTGTGCAAATAATGCTTGGATGGAGTACTGTGTATGAAGGTAGTCGGCTACCATTAAAACAGGTCATCAGATTTTATTGACCAGTAATTTAACAAAGTGGTTTTATTTTATACTGTTGTTCACTGAATTTAAAATATGGTCTCTGATCTGGTACTATATTTCACACAAAAAATGTAACAAACATCCATATTAAAATTTGCATAAATGTTATTTTTATACTGAAACATGTTATTTCAAAGAAATGTCTAAAGACGCTAATTTGCATGTCATGCACTAATACATATACACAATATTGTGTTTTGTAATTTTCAATGTTGTGTGTGTTGCAATTTGCAAAGGCTGAATTTTTAATTTAAAATGAATATTATAATCAAACTTAAGTCTTCTACAATACAGTATCAAACAAAAAATATGTTTTTGTTCATATTGCATTTTTAAAGACGATTAAAAGTCACACAGTGTCACGATCATATTTTATAGAGTGTTGTAAAGATCATAAGAACTCTCTGCAATGTCTGCCAAGCGGACATAACAAATAAATGCAGCTTGTTAGCCGGAAAACAATGCCAGCGAGAGCATAATTTATTTTATTTTATTTTATTGTTTTTCTTTTAGTATGATTATATAAAATATGTTAATTAAGTTTCAACTTCAACTATTTAAAGTAAAGATACACTTGATACTTTTCCCTATGAGTAGTTTTGATACACATGTATCGATTGCATGGAATGTCAATAACTGAAGTGACCCAATTCTAGTGAAACCAGAGTGAGGCAGAATAAAACACATTCAGTGTTTCTGGGCTAAAAAAAAATACTGGGTAGGTAGACACAGTTGTACTCTTCGGTTTTTATGGGACCATCATTATCAACTTCAGATGTGATAAATGAACATGTGAGTTAGCTTTCAGAATATAATCATTCACTACATAGAAGGAAGTAAATGAAATTAAAAAAATACAACATTGGTGAAATGACCATGGATAATTTGCATAGGAATAAATAATATTGTGCTTATTTTCCTAAAAAAGTGGGTAAGTAGTTTTACCAGAAACACAGAATTTATATTGTTTGCCCTGACAAAACAAACAACAAGCAGCAAGCAATTGCAATAGTTTTATGTAACAATGTGTGAAGGAACAGGGTTGAGTAAATAGGAAAAGGGCACATTTTTTAGATTACTGGACAATCTAGGTGAATCTTATCTTAACAACAAAACAGAAACAGAATAATGTAGAAAGAATGCTGAGTAGATGTAAAGATAAGGGTCAGTAGCACGGGATATGAGTGACACAAGTATCTGTGTCACTACAATAACCTTCATTTCATAACTACAATTAATATATATTTATTTTTACATTTACAAAACAATTATATTTCAGGTCAAGTATGAAAACAATTTCATAAATGCGATCTTGTTAGGTTAATCGCTATTTTATTGACATCATGCATCATATCGTTATTTATCGTTTTTACAATCTTAATATGTTCAGTTTAATAGTTTCTACTGCTCTCAATATGATTTAAGGTGCGTTTTATAGTACACCATCCCGTTTAACAATATCGACACCACATACGGTAGTAACATTGTTTCTATTAGTAATACTAGATGAATATTGTTACCTATATTGACCAGCTTGATGCCTTCTTTCTCCATCAGTGACAGGGCATATGATACGTTTTCCATTTTCTGAATACGATTTGTTGGATTTTTACTGTAGCGACTTCCCCGCCTCGTTGGTTGCAGAGCTCCCCCGCGAGTTTCGATTAAACTTTCCGTCAGCGAGATCAAAAGCAGTCCATTCTCTAAATCCTCGGAGATGTCCTCGACTTTCTTGCCAGTTGGTTTTAACTGCTCGTTCATCCAGTTGGTGAAAGTGTTTCTCTGAATTTCAACCCAGCGATCGTCTCCAATGCCACCCATACCTGATTTGGCTGCATGACCCTCTGCAGACGTTGCCCTGTCCGACAACTGTCGTTGTAATTCAGTCATGTTCGAATATTTCTAGCAACAGGTTTTGGTATAATGAGTAACCAAACATATACTTCCCACTAGTATTTAGTAAGGCGCTGAAGAAGTCTTAAAGTTCTGTCGAACTTCAGTGTGTGGTGTAGCCGATGCAAAAAGTTAAAAACAACTACGTACGTACTACTGGTCTCAATCGATCAGCGACCTCCACTGTGAAGGGGTGTGTTGATTTCCTATTCATATGTAAATTAGTATTTGCTAGCTGTACCAGTACACTATAGCGCGATGTGGCGTCTGTGACTAATTTTCTGCAAAAAGTTGCGGTTAATTTTTAACCCTGAATTGTGTAGTATTACATAATAGATATATAATATAATCATTTCAGAATAATGATAATAACACTATGATATCGGTGTCTCAACTATTTTTTATCGGCCTCGTGGTGGCGCTATTTTTTATTGATCGGATGCTCCAGAAACACCTGTTGTGTCTCCATTAAAATTGTTGAATGAATAAAAAATGAGAACAACAAATGAATCAATCCACAATTCCAGAAGCAGTTACGAGCTCATATTTTGATTCATTCCGTGAAAGGCGTCTTTAATTTTCTTGTTTATTATGCCCCTGGCCTAAAAAACCTGTATCCATGACGACGTGTTAGCTTTTCGAGTATCCACGGGGGCGGAGCCACGTCACAAGACGTTCCACGTTGCTACGGCGCGCACCACTGTACATGCATTTCTATGGGCTCTGTGCGGGCTGCTGTGGAACGCCGGTCGAGCCGGTGAAAATTCGAGAAAACAATACAAACTCAACTTTGAAGTAATCCCGAACAACCAAATTTATATATGTTACACATGTAGGGCTAATCTTGTTACACTGTTCAGAGGAATCTCAACAATCATCCCAAAGTACCGTTTTCTGCGAGTTTTGGGCCTGTGTTTTCACCGCCGCGGGCATCCTGCGTAACAAGGGTCACGCGCCATCCTCCGGTAACCCTTGCCACCACAAGCGGTGATTTTATCAAGAATCGTGATAAATAAATACGTTCTTGCATTAATTGAACTGGAAAATGTATCAAAATGATTCAAATACTTCATAAAGTAGTTGGTTTAAATAAATATAGTAAAAGTATTATGTTTTACCGTGCTTTGTGAACGTAAATGGCTATTTTGATAAAGGACTACATTTTTATGGATTGATTACAAGGCGTAAATAGTTTCCCGGGAGATTTTAAAATGGCAGCCTCCGATCCGATTGTGAAATCATGCAATGATGCCTTGAATCCCAACATGTAGGTAAGTGTTAATTTGGAGAACTTTACCATTGTTTATTCACCACAGAGACTATTCAGGGAACAAGCCGTAAATTGTGTGTGTTTATCCTTAGATAACTAATACATTTATTTGTTGTCTGAGGTTTATCATCGGTTGCTAGTTTAGTAAAATATTAATCGTCACCGTTGTTTTTCTGCTCACTGTTCTGTGTATGGAATGCCCCCTT